TGTCAGATGCACAGGAATAGTAGGAGTGCCACTGCATGGTCCTAATGGAGACAGACTCACACTCTCACCCTGATAATAACCATCATTGTGTGTCGTTACCACCGCGGTAAATGAATAGATTCTGAACAGATCTAATACCTCAAAACTGACAGCCGATTTCACCGCAATATGTCCCCTCACAGCCCAGTATTTTCCTTACTTTTCCATCCTTGTGTTACCAGGTGACTAACAGCTTAATAAAACAAAGAACTGTGGATGCTGGAAATCTGAAACAAAGACAGAAATTGCTGGAGAAACTCAGTCGATCTGGCAGCTTCTGGCATCACTGGACCTGAAACATCGACTCTACTTTCCTTGCCCACATGCTGCCAGAGGAATGTGGGAGCAATCCCAGGAATTGCTTAAAATGAGGTGCAATCCTCATGGAAAAACTATAACACAGAAATGTATGCATGGGACGAAATCCTGGCACTCCTTACCAAACACTGCTATGGGTGTTTCTGCACCTCAAGACTGCAGCTGTATGAGAAGGCAGCTCAGCACCATCTTCTGAAGACCAATTAGGGAAGGACAATAAATACTAGCCAAGTCAATAATGCACACATCCCATGAACAAATTTTTGAAAAAAGCTGAAACCAGCAAGCCAAAGTTCTCCTACAATCAATGGATCCAGTTATAGCTTTGTAGCCCTCACATTTAGTCATGAATGGTGTTGGTCAATTCAACAATTACATTAGGGGATGGTTCCATGGCCAACTCTATTCTCAATGATGGCAGAATCCAGCATGAGAGTAAAACCCAGAGGTGAAACAGTTCAGCCATCTCAGCAGCCATAAGTGAATGATGCTTCTTAACATCATCCTGAAATTCCTATTATCACAGATATCCATTTTCAGCCATGTAACATCAAAATGTAGCCGGGTGCAGTGGAGACAAGTAAAAGATCCGGGCCCCAACTATGTTGCGAGGGTGAATCAGTAGAATTCTACACCTCAGAGGGCTGTTGAGGCTGTGTCATTAAGTATATTCAAAGTTGAGATAGATAAGACTTTTAATCAGTAAGGGAATCAAGGGTAATAGGGGAAAGGCAGGCAAGTAGAGTTGGGGATTATCACATCAGCCATAATTTTATTGAATGTTGGAGCAGACTTGTTGGGCTGAATAGCTTACTTCTGCTCTTATGTCTTAGGGTCTTATGCAGTTGTGATGGGAACACCATCACCCCCCACCCCTCCCTCCATGTTACCTTCAGTACCATCTTGGTTTGGGCAATCAGCACCATTCCTTTATTGTCACTGGTTAAAATCCCGAAAGTCTCAAATTAACAACATTGTAGCTTACTTTTATCAAGAGGACTTCAGCAACTACCACCAACTGGTAATAACCAATAAGTAACAGCCTTGTCAGTAAGGAAATGTGACTGGCAACAGTACCATGCCAATCTTAGTGAGGCCCAAAGCCCAATTTTGTGCCCCTTTTGGGCCTAGATGAATTTCTACACCCTATTGTATTTAAATTAAGTTTAATATTCTCCAAAGCTCCAAGTGTACCTAATCTTCATATGGGTTTTCCATAGAGAGAATTTGCACTGTCATCTTAACGTTCAACTTTACCAATGGCATTGTAAAAATATTTCAAAGTTCGAACTGTACCAACCTTGACTTTACTTGTCAAAAAGTACTATTACGCAAAGTATTTTCTGCAAACCCTAATATTCCTTTGTTCAGAAATGCCAGGGAAAGGAGAATAAATTACACTGTATCGTAAAGTTCATGGAAGGGTTTAACCCTCGGAGATTGTACAAATACTTTGAGTGAAGTGCAGCTGAGGTCATCTGTTTTTATCAAGGTTATTTTCCAACAATGTGTTTCTGGCAAGGAGACTAATTGCTTTAGAAATTTGCTGACACAGCACATGATTTCCCAACTTTTTAATCATGGTCTATTTAAATAAACCTGGTAATTAACCATAGGACACCAAGAACACTGGACATCTCTCTTCAAAAGAGAGAGGCAATGGCTATATAGCTTAAAGGTCACAATTCCATCTGAATGGGGAAAGGGAAGAAAGCAGGTCTCAATAAGCTATACTACAGAGATTGAGCCCATACTGATCAGTGTTACCCTGCACCGCACTCTCACCACCCAGTCACACCCAAACTTACAGTGTGCTTCTGACAGGAGAAACTCTCAATGGAATTGTGATGTCTAAAAATTATTATTAATGCACAAAACTCACGCTTAAAATAATGTATTTAATATGCAGTAAATTCTCTTGATATCCCATAGCGCAATGCATCCAATTAATTATTTTTGAAGTTTAGCCAAACATGGCAACAATGTGTGTATAGCAAGATCCAAAAGTAAAAAAGTAAGATGAATCACCAGATAATGTGATTCCGATGGTGCTGGTTGAAGGAATGACTGTTAGCCATAGGATCTTTTCTGTCTACCTAAGCCACCAGGACTCCATGTAGCACCCTGATTGACTCTACTATTTCAGTCTGTGAAACATTGTGACTGAAACAGCTAATTCCCACTCTGAACTTGGGCACAAAATTCTCCATTGACATTTCTATAGCCAGGCTGTTGGGTGGAGCTAGCCAGTGTAAGGTCCTGGGTCCTGTTAGAAATATTTTCTAAATTCAGTGTATGATGCCACACTACATTCTCAAATGGAATCAATTAGCCTGTTGTTGCATTTGGCTCTTGAAACGATAAAGTACACTGAAATCAAAACACATGAGCTGTTCTGACTGCATCTCTGACCAGCAATATTACTTGAACAGCACCATGAGAAAATTAACTTTCTGCGAATGACAGCAGTAAAATTATAAGCAATTGCAATATCACGTCACTCAATCTTGAGACTGTAATTACTTGCAACTTCTGGATAAGCTTAGCTGTCATAATTCCTTGTCACCAGCTCTGATTTATTTGCTAAAATAACAGAGAGTTTAATTGTGTCTGCAGGTATTAATGTGTAAATTGTCTGACAACTTGTGACATCCAAGTGATACCCCATGAATGGCCTATCACCACAAGGTTTGAGGCAATTTGTCCCCCATGTGCTGTCAGTTCTCAGAAACAGCAGCTTGCCTTTATTCACCCTGTGAGTGTCATGAATTGCTGAAACTGTGCATTAATCACCAATGCAACTTGTTGTGAAATTATATCTGCTACTTAATAGCATAGACACATTTTTATTTCTGAGATTTATGTTTCTGCAATGACACTCAAGTCCCGAAGTTTGGAAAAGGAATTGTTTCAACTAAGGAGTTTTATTCCTCTGTGTAATAAATTTATATTTTAAATTTAAAGTGTAAATTATTTTCTTGTTTTCATTTTACCCTCTTTAACTTTTATCAATCTAATCAATCTTTCCATCCTATATTTCCCTTTCTATGCCTGATTTGACTGTAATACACTCACTTTAGTTTACCCCTCTCTGTCATCTCCTTGTTCCTTCCAAATTTTAAAATTTCAATCAAATAGGTATCAAGGGGCCAACTTTCCATTGGTCGGAGTCATACCTGACACATAGGAGGATAGTTGTAGTTGTTAGAAGTCAGTCATCTCAGCTCCAAGACAATCTGCAGGATTTCCTCAGTGTAGTGTCCTCGGCCCAACCATCTTTAACTGCTTCATCAATGACCTTTCCTCCATCATAAGGTCAAAAGTGGGGATTTCGCTAAAGATTGCACAATGTTCAACACCATTCGTGACTCCTCAGATACTGAAGCAGTCCATATTCAAATGCAACAAGATCGGGACAATATCTAGGCTTGGGCCGACAAGTGACAAGTAACATTTGTACAACACAAATGCCAAGCAATTACCATCTCCAATGAGAGACAATCTAACCACCGCCCCTTGGCATTCAATGGTGTTACCATCACTGGATCCCCCACTGTCAACATCCTGGGAGTTATTATTGACAGAAACTCAAATGAAATCATCACATAAATGCAGTGTCTACAGGACCAAGTCAGAGGCTAGGAATACTGTAGCAAGTAAGTCATCCCTGATGCCCCAAAGTCTGTCCATAATCTACAAGGCACAAGTCAGGAGTATAATGAAATACTCCCCACTTGCCTGGATGGGAACACCATCCAGGACAAAGCAGCCCACTTGATTGTCACTACACCCACAAACATCCACTCTCTCCACCACTGACACTCAGTAGCAACAGTATGTACTATCTACAAGATGGACTACAGGAATTCACCAAAGATCCTCAGACGACACCCTCCAAACTCACAATCACTTCTGTCTAGAAGGACAAGGGCAACAGATACATGGGAACACCACCATCTACAGGTTCCCCTCCAAGCCGGTCACCATCCTGACTTGGAAATATGTTGCCGTTCCCTTACTGTCGCTGGGTCAAAATCCTGGAATTCCCTCCCTAAGGGCATTGTGGGTCAACCCACAGCAGGTGGACTGCAGCGGTTCAAGAAGCTCACCCCCACCTTCTTAAGGGCAACTAGGGATGGGCAATAACATGCTGGGCCAGCCAGCACACGCACGTCCCACAAGCGAATAAAAAACAACAAAGCCATGGATTCTCTGTTGGGTCTTGCTATATTCTCAGTTTGCACATTCAGCACTTCGTAAGGGAAATACATTTTTGAGCTGATTTAGGGTGGAACTTTCTTATTTGCAGCTAAAACGTGGTTGTCAATACCCTTCATGGTATCCAGTCCGCCACTGTCCAGAGGCAGTTTTCTTTTCTTTTTCATCTCAGTAATTATGAAACCCGACTCACTTCTCAGGAGTCACATGAGGAAGGAAGTGCTCACCACTGTCAAAACCTCCTGATGTACATGCCTCTGGTGCCATAGTTAAAGACCAGCTGGACCCCATGGTAGATGCTGGGAACCAGAATTGGTCTGTCACAGTGCAGTACATCAACAGTAACATCCTCTTGCATCTACTTCCATCATTATCAATGCTTCCCTTATGTCATTGCAGAAGAAACTGGATCATAGCCAGGCTGCGAGGACACAGCTTGTTAGGGATGGGTGTGGGGGCTCCTCCCTCTCTACAAAGTCATTGCTCTGGCCTGAGGAAAGCAGGATTGCTCACATGTCGGGAAAGAGACTTCAATGTACACCCAACTCAATGAGCTTCACTGATCTGTTCTCCCATTAACACCAAGGATTTTGAAGGGGGCAAGGTTAGAAATTGTGTGGCATTGTTCATAATTTTCAGTCTTTCCTGAACTCAGGAGAGGTGCCAGAAGACTGGAGAAGTATAAACATTACAATCCTGTTCAAGAAATGATGTAAGGTAATCCCAGTTTAATTTCGGTGATATACAAACCTCCAGAAACAATTAGTAGTCACATGGAAAAATCTGTGTTAATTAGGAAGAGTCAGCGTGGATTTCTAAAGGGGAAATTATGCTTAATGAACTGGCTGGAGATTTTTGAAGAGGTAACTGAAAGGCTCAATGAGGGTAATGCTGTTGATGTGGTGAATGTGGTTTTGCAGAAGCTGTTTGATACAGTGCCACACAATAGACTTGCGAGGAAAATTGTCAATCATGATATAAAAGGGACAGTGACAACGTGGGTACAAAATTGGCTAAATGATAGCAAGCTGAAAGTAATGGTTAATGGATATTTTTCTGTCTTGATATAAAGGTTTGTAGCAGAGTTACATAGGAAGCAATATAGGGACCCTTGCTTTTCAGAATGATCCCGAACTTGGTATGCAGGGGACAAATTTCATAGTTTGCAGATGACATTAAACTCAGAAGAATTGTAAACTATGAGGAGGACAGTGTGGAACTCCAGATGTAAATTGACAAGTTAATGGAGTGGGCAGAGCGGTGGCAGGTGAGGTTCAATGCAGAGAAATGTGAGGTGATACACATTGGCAGGAAGAACATTGAAAGACAATATACAATAGGGCGTCCAATTCTAGAGGGGGTGCAGGAGTAGGCGGAACTGGATGTATATGAGCACAGATGACTGAAGGTGACAGGACAGGGGAGACAATAGTTAATAAGCTTACGGTGTGCTCGGCTTTATTAATAAGATCATAGAGTAAAAGAGCAAGTAGGTGAAATTGAATTTGTATAAATCACTTGTTAGACCGCAGCTAGAGAATTAGGTACAGTTGTGGGTGCCACATTATAGGAAAGACATGAATGCATTGGTGGTGGTACAGAAGTGATTTACCAGGAATGAGAAATTCCAATGATGAGGATTGTTTCAAGAAGATGGGTCTGTTATCTTTGGAGAGAAGAAGGCTGAGAGGAGATTTGATCTACATTGTGTTATCAAAACCTTGAGCGGGCTGAACAGGGTAGTTAGGGAGAAGTTGTTCCAGCTCATAAAAGAAACAAAAACAAGAAGGACATAGATTTAATTTGATGTCAAACAAAGCAAAGGTGATGTGGGAAATAACATTTTCATGCAGTGAGCAGATAGGGTACTGACAGCAGTACCTGGAAATATGGGGGACGCAGGTTCAATTGAAGGATTCAAAAGGGGCATTGGATGGTTATTTGGATAGAAATGGTATGCAGGGAGATGGCCAATAAGTGGGAGGTAGGCACGAGGGAATAGAAACTGTGCAGGCACAATGGGCCGATTAGACTCTTTCCGCGCTGCAAAGTTCTTCAGTTCTGCACTTGTACATGACATGTAGGGCTGACAGTAGCCAATCCCCAGATTGCAAGAATATGGACCCTGGACCCACATAGGACCAAGACCCTGACTGACGATGGCCATCACCCTGTAATGTAAGACCCTGACAGACTGTGGAGGGACTGCTGTCTGACTGGAGTCATCCTTCACCCCAGTAAGGACCGCTCCACCTTGACTTTCACATGCGGCCACTTTCAGTGTGTTTGTTACTGGCATGTGCTACAGCTCTGATATTCATGTAGCACATTCCAGCACAGCAACATCCCATCCCCGTTTACCGTTAGAGTGACCATGTGGCATTTCTTTCTGTCACAAGCTGCCTACCCCTCCCCCTGCCTGAGATGTGATGTGAAAAATTCACAAGGAAATTTCTTGATCAAACAATTCAGTGGAAGGTGACCAGACATCCATTCTGAGGAAGGGTCACTTGACTGAAATGTTATCTCTCCACAGATGCTTGCAGACCTGCTGAGCTTTTCCAGCAATTTCTGTTTTTATCTTTGACCAGACATCCCAGTTGGACTGGGCCTAGCCAGGATTTTCAGTCTGACAATTTTTCCCAAGATGCTGAAAGATTCTAAATACATCAGCTGAAGTATTTACATCCAGTTCACCATAATGTGATTGCAACCCCTTCCTTTTCTACCTGGTAAACTAGCAAAAGGGCAATTCAGAGTTCTAGCTAATCGGTCAGGTGAGTACTCAATGGAAAGAGTGCAGGGTGTTGTACATAGTGATGGAAGTGGGTGAAATTGATGGAGCTTTGCATGTGTGGCAAGTTTTCACATTATTACAATGTAGCCTGAAGATAGACATTTAGTACAATGCATGGGTGTACAATGAGGACTAGGGCTCGGAGAATGGGAAAGCGAGAGGGAGAGCAGAGACGTTGCAATATTGATCATTACCAGAGAAAATCTTGCATCCTCTTTTTCAACAAGCTGATTGGCCTACTCCTGCTCCTATTTTCTATATTTCTATCCTTATAGTGTACAACTTACAAGAAGAGATTGCTGATTTAGCTGGGAAATTAAGCCCAGATCCAGAGTTTTATAACAGGTTCAAAACATTTCAAAATCAATACAGCCTTTTCAATAACTTAGATCAGTTTCAGGGTTCCTGCTGCAAAGTGAGTTGAGTTCTGATAGAGATTCCAACCTACAGTCAGTGGTAAGGCTCCAATTTCAAATGCAAATGGAAAAATTAATGTTCTCAACAGTGAGGATGTAATGGGGATGGAAGAGGATTATTGTTCATCAGTTTTCAAAAGTATTGAAGGTCAATAAAGAAGGTAAAGTCACCATAGTCCTACCGGATCATAGGACTGCTCTCTCATTACAGACAGACAACTGGTGGTGGTTTAAACTGAGGAGCAAATGGGGAGACAACAGCTTAGTGGTTTTATTGTTAGACTGTTAATCTAGAGTCACAGGTAGTATTCTGGGGACCCTGGATTTGAATCCTGCCATGGCAGGTGGTGGAATTTGAATTCAATAAAAATCTGGAATTAAGAGTCTAGTGTCATTGTCACTTTTTGGAAAAACCCATCTGGATCACTAATGCCCTTTTGAGAAGGAAACTGCCATCCTTACCTGGTCTGGCCTAAATGTGATTCTAGACTTTAATTGCCCTCTGGGCAATTAGGGATGGTCAATAAATGCTGGCCTAGCCAGTGATGCCTTCATCCCACGAGTGGATTTTAAAAAGCCTCATGTGAGGGGAAAGGTTAAGGAGGACCCTATCATGATAACCTCAGCTACTGTGTGAATTGAACCCATGCTATTGGCATCAATCTGCATTGTATATCGGCCATTCAGCCAACAGAGCTAACTGATGGCAATATACACGATGCATTGCACCTGCAATGTGCGACTATTAATATTTCAAGTTCATTATGACTCTTCTCCAAAATGGTTCTGAAGGAGTCATGCTGGTCTCGAAACGTAAACTCTGTTTCTCTCTCTACAGATAGAACCGGATCTACACCATTTCTTCAGCATTTTCTGTTTTTATTCCAAAGTGCTTTACGATCAGTTAAGTACTTTGGAAATGTACTATAAGAATGTGCTTCTTAAAAATAACCATGAGATATGGGAAGAGAATTAGTCATTCAGTCCATCAAGTCTGCTTCACCATTCAATCTTGACTGGCATGTTTCTCAACTTCATTCTCCTGCCTTCTTCCCTTTATCCCTTTGTTAATCAAGAAGCTATCTATCTCTGTCTTAAGTACACTCAATGACTTGGCCTCCACAGCATTCTGTGGAAATGAGTTCCACAGAATAATCACCATCTGGCTGATAAAATTCCTCCTCATCTCAGTTCTTAAGGGTCATCCTTTCACTCTGAGGCTGTGCCTTCAGGTTCTTAGTCTCTCCTACTAGTGGAAACACCTTCTCCACGCCTGTTCTATCCAGGCCTCACTGTTTTCTGTAAGTTTCAATCAGAATCCCTCATCCTTCTAATATCCATCAAGTACAAATTCAGAACCCCCTTTTCTGATGAAGGGTCTAGGCCCGAAACGTCAGCCTTTCTGCTCCTATGATGCTGCTTGGCCTGCTGTGTTCATCCAGCCCTGCAGCTTGTTGTCCTGTACTGCTTGTCACATGACAAGTCCTTCATCCCTAGGATCATTCTTGTCAACCTCCTGTGGACCCCCTCCAACCCCAGCACATCCTTCCTTAAGTACAGAACCCAAAACTGCCATAAAATTCCAAAAATGCACTGACAAGCGCCTTTTACAGACTTAGCAGTAAAATTCTGCTCTTGTATTCTACCCATCTTGAAATGAATGCTATCATTGTATTTGTCTTCCTAACTGCCAAATGAACCTGCATGTTAACCTTAAGACAATCCTGAAGTAGGATGCCTAAGTCTCTTTTTTGCTTCAGATGTCTAAAGCCTTTCCCCATTTTGAAAATAGTTTACACCTCTATTCTTCCAATCAAAGTGCGCGACCTCACACTTTCCCACATTGTACTCCATCTGCCACTTGTTTGCCCCCTCTCCTAGCCTGTCCAAGTCCTTCTGCAGCCTCTCCACCTCCTCAATACTACCTATCCCTCCGCCTAGTTTTGTGTCAGATGCAAACCTAACAACAATGCCCTCAGTTCCTTCATCCAGGTTATTAATGTATAATGTGAATAGTTATGATCCCAGCATTGACCCCTGATTCCTGATTGACGAGGAGACTATGTCAAAACTGTCTTCAAGCTTGGCTTCTTCATAACACTGTTTGTTGTCACACCTTGTGGTGTCAGCAATCTTTAGGCTAATGTTCTGGGGCATTGGTTCAAATCTCACTTTGGCAAGTTGTGAAATGGAGTTCAATTCTTCAAAACAAAATCTGAAATTGAAAAGCTAGCCTGATCGTGACCACTGTAGATTGTTGTAAAAACCCATTTGGTTCACTAATGCCCTTCAGGGAAGTAAAGCTGATGTCCTTACCTGGTCAGTCCTATATGTAACTCCAGTGCCACATCAGTATGGTTGACTTTTAAATGCACTCTGAGCAATTAGGGATGGGCTATAAATGTTAGTCCAGCCAGTGATGCCCACATCCCATGAGCAAAAGGGAAAATAATGTTAAATGCTATAATATGTACTAATCAGTGATACACCATGGTCTAAGTTTACTTTAACTATACTGCCTAAGACTAATCACTATACTCCACATGCCTGTTAGCATATGTTTCAATCAATGTCTAACATGTTTCACTGACTTTCTTACTATCCAATTCTTATCACTGTATCCAACTCCTCCTATGGCCTAGACAGAGTGGATGTTGGGAAGATGCTTCCATTGGTAGGAGAGACTAGGACCCGAGGGCACAGCCTTAGAGTAAAGGGAGGACCCTTTAGAACGGAGATAAGGAGAAACTTCTTCAGCCAGAGAGTGGTGAATCTATGGAATTCACTGCCACAGAAGACTGTGGAGGCCAGGTCATTGAGTACATTTAAGACTGAGATAGATAGGTTCTTGATTATTAAGGGGATCAAGGGTTACGGGGAGAAAGCAGGAGAATGGGGTTGAGGAATTTATCAGCCATGATTGAATGACGGTGCTGACACCTTGGGCCGAATGGCCTAATTTCTGCTCCTATGTCTTATGGTCTTGTGGCATGCTATTTATGCCCAGTGAGGAGTAGCTTTATGACATCATCATGAAGTTGCCCCAGGGGTCTAAAAGCCTTGCACAACACATTATAAGGCAACTGTCATGGAATCAGATGTTGCAAGGGATTTAAAACCTGAAACTTGCAATTCAATGACCAAGTAGAATACAGAAGTTGGTCAAAACTCCTCAAGTAATCAAAGAATAAAATACAAACAATTTTGGGGGTTTTGACAAAGAATCATACTTGAGTCAAAACATTAATTCTGTTTCTCTCTCTACAGGTGCCACCAGACCAGCTGAGGTTCTCCACACCTTTTCTGATTTCTTTTAGATTTCCGGCATTTAGAGAATTTTGCTTTTAACACAATTTTGGGGAAATTGGAAGAAAATGTGATTTGCTGAATGGTCCTGTTGGCCTGAGTTAAAGTAAGGAAAGATTTTTTTTTTGTTTTGCAGCTGGAGTTATTAAAAATAACTTGTAACATTTTATTTTCTTCTCAAGGCTACACAACTACTTTAAATAGGGGAATTGATGTTGAAAAAGACATTGAGAGGCATATGAGACTGGTTACCTCCTCATAGGTTCGTAAGTCTGGGGTTTGAGAAATTCACTGTTTGGAATGGTGAACCCCGACTGTAAGTTATGATTTGTTATATTTCATTCTGTAACAATGGTGAGACAACTGAATATTGTCTGTAAATTCAACAGGAAAAAATATGTTTTTATTACAGCAAGTAATTGAGTGAAATGGAGCACTACAGACTAATTTGTGAACTTAAGTAGAAATAAAATAGACAGTATATTTCAAGCTTTCATATTCTACAGCTTCTATGTATCCTGTGTATTCTGTATTTACTTTATGAAAATATTGTGTGGATAGGATGTACTTCTCCTGTGTAATACTAGGGCAGAGGGAAGGGGCAAGAAAATTGGTCCCAAATGGAATTGCGGATTTGAAGAATATTTGAAAAGGATGAAATATGAAAGTTATCAGGGAAATATGATTAGAGCAGATGTGTCATTTTTTTCTTTACAGAGTACATACCGTTCTCTGGGAAGTTCTATAAGAGGAGTTCTTACCAGTACGTTGCTGCCATATTTTACGCATTGGTGATATTCCTTATGATCAGAGACAATTATTCAGGATAACTTTAAATTATTGTGTAATTTGTGCCCTGAGCTAAAATATTTTGCAAGCTTTCCAAAAAAAAAACACATCTGTTTTAACAAAGGAAAAAGCTTTAGCCACCAGAATCTGAAATTATTAAGTTCCATATCTCACAGCAGGAATTCATAAGCTGTTCAGAGATCAGGAGGAAGCTACTGGAGATCAAGGAAACACTGAATAACAATTAGGAAAATGGAAACCAAGCTACAGAACAATTCTGCTCATTCTGAGATTGAGTACATCTTGGAGAGAAGCTATCAGTTTTGTGGACAACATCTATGGATCAGTCAGAGCTCAAATGCCCAGATTGGGACTTCTGCTTTCGTATGGGAAGCTGTAAGTATAGAGACCTGCTATATATATATATATCAAAAAATAAGTAACCAACTTCAGTGAATGCTTTAAGAAACTCTTTATGTTACAGTGATCAACTTCACATGTTTTTGCAAACAACATTGCACCTTGAAAAGTGATACAAAGTCAGTGACAGTTTATTTTATTTCAATCTTTTATGTCCTTCTTTTAGCATGAGAACTGGTTGAGTGAAGTACAATGAGTTATGTAACTTTAGCTTTGGTTATATTGTACATGGTTGTGGCAGTCTCAGAAACTTCCAGACATCCCATACACTGGCACAGGGGCTTCTGTATTTCAGAGTAATTTTGGTGCACACAATTAAGCTTTCATAGTGGAACAAGTTTTCTGTCTGAGAAACAGATTGGTACAATTTGGGTTAGAAAGGGAATTATCCCATAGAATGCTGCTGGTTCCACTATGGAACTACCTTGTAGGTTGGCCTTGCTGAGTTAGAGCAGCTAAGCCAATGTAGTTGTTGTCTTATGTGGAGGTGCCGGTGTTGGACTGGGGAGAACAAGGTCAGAAATCACACGACACCAAGTTATAGTCCAACAGGTTTATTTGAAAACACAAGCTTTCGAAGCCTTGCTCCTTCTTCAGGTGTTACTGAGAGAGGTAGTATCAGACACAGAATTTATAAGTAAAAGACAAAAGGATCACACCACTGATCAGGATGTATTAAACAAACCCAAGATGCTGTTAAATATTTAATCAGTTAGAATGTTTTAATTGATTATTATGTATATCCAAATTCCTTTCAAGTCACTGCTGTGAGGGAGCTAAAGGTTTTATCAGTGCAAAGAAGAGGTGACATTTTAGGTCAGACAATGCATGTTAGGTTTAAGGCCTCAATTAGAATATGTTTGTGTTTTGGTTTGGAATCTCCGACTTCAGAGTACCCCACGCACTCTCATCCTACATACTTCCCGCACAGGGGACTTCTGGCACCTTCCATAGATACCCAAAGCCAACACACCTGGACATCCCATCGTATCAGTCAGTGGGACCCTGTGTGAGACCCTCTCTGGCTATGTCGAGGGCATCTTGAAACCCATTGTACAGGAAACCCCAGCTTCTGTCTTGACACTGCAGATTTCTTACAGAAACTCAACACCCACGGACAAGACGAACCAGGAACATTCCTCATCACAATGGATGTTTTGGCACTCTACACCAGCATCCCCCATGACAACTGCATCAACGCAACAGCCTCAGTACTCAATACCACCAATTGCCAATTTCCAGACGCTGTCTTACACCTCATCCGCTTCATTCTCGACCACAACATCTTTGCTTCTGACGGCCAGTTCTTCATTCAGACACACAGAACAGCCATGGGGACCAGATTTGCTCCCCAATATGCCAACATTTTCATGCACAGGTTCAAACAAGACTTCTTTGCTGCACAGAACCTCTGACTAGCGCTGTACATCAGATACATTGATGACATTTTCCTCCTTTGGACTCATGGCGAAGAATCACTGAAATGACTATAGTGATATCAACAAGTTTCATCACACCATCAGACTTACCATGGACTATTCTTTAGAATCAGTCTTATTCTCAGACACACACATCTCCATCAGGGATGGACACCTCAGTATCTCACTGTACTGCAAGCCTATGGATAGCCTCATTAGGCTGCACTTCTCTAGCTTCCACCCTAAACATATTAAAACAGCCATCCCCTACGGACAAGCCCTTCGCACGCACAGGATCTGTTTGGATGAGGAGGAACGAGACAGACACCTGAAGCTGTTGAAGGATGCCCTCATAGGAACAGGATACTCATCGATCGCCAGTTCCGATGTGCCACAGCGAAAAACTGTAATGACCTCCTCAGAAGACAGACATGGAATATGTCTGATAGGGTACCCTTTGTCATCCAGTACTTCCTGGGAGTGGAGAAACTACGCCATGTTCTTCACAGCCTTCAACACATTTTAGATGATGATGAGCACCTTGTCAAGATTTTCCCTACACCTCCACTTCTCGCCTTCAAACAACCTTCAAACCTTAAACAGACCATTATTTGTAGCAAACTACCCAGCCTTCAGGACAACATCGACAACAACACCATACAGCCCTGTCACGGCAACCTCTGCAAGACATGTCAGATCATCGACATGTACACTACCACCACACGTGGAAACACCACCCACCAGGTGCACGGCAGATACTCATGACTCGGCTAATGTGGTCTGCTTCATACACTGTTGGCAAGGTGCCCCAAGGCATGGTATATTGGTGAGATCATGCAGATGTTATTGTAACGGATGAATGGACACCGCACAACAATTGCCAGACAAGAATGCCCCCTCCCAGTGGGGGATCGCTTCAGCGGTCAAGGACATTCAGCCTCTGACCCTCCGGTAAACGTCCTGACAGGTGGACTTTGGGATACACAACAACGCAGAGTTGCCAAGCAGAGGTTGATAGCCAAGTTCGGTCCCAACGAGGACAGCCTCAACTGGGATCTTGGGTTCATGTCACGCTATAGGTGACCCCACCGCACTGTACACTCTCTCTGTCTCTCTCTAACACACACACACACACACACACACGTACACTCTCTCTCTCCCCTCCTCTACCTCTCTCTCTCTCACACACACACACATGAAATCCATGGGGTGAATTCGTATTTGCAAATATATTCTATTTTGTTCAAAAAAAATACAATGTATACTCAGTCAGTCAATGTGGCGTTTTATAAGTTCCTATAAATTTACAAATTCCTACTTTAGAAATAAAACCATTCTGACTCCAAACCAAAACACAAACAGATTCTAAACAAGGCCTCACACCTAACATGCATTGTCTGACCTAAAATGTCACCTTTTCTTTACACTGATAAAACCCTTAGTTCTCTCAGGGCGGTGACTTGAAAGAAATTTGGGGATTTACATATAATCAATTTACAAATAATCAAATAAAACCTTCTAACTGATTAAAGATTTAACAACATCTTAGTTTTCTTTAATACATCCTCATAAGTGGTGTGATCCTTTGATCTTTTACTTATAAATTCTGTGTCTGATTCCACCTCTCTCACTAACACCTGAAGAAGGAGTAAGACTCTGAAAGCTTGTGTTTTCAAATAAACCTATTGGACTATGACCTGGTGCCGTGTGATTTCTGACACTGAATAATGTGATGCATGTACCAAATTTCAACCATTACCAGAAAAATGTATTGCAGAGGTCTTCATCTTCTCTTCAATTTAGGCTTAACATCCGTCTTATGTGATGTGAATTGATCTCAGTTGGCATGTTAATTGGGATACAATGATTGTTATTGGCACCACTGACAAAGGAAAAGGAAAACCAGTCACTGAAACCTGGCGGTCAGTAAATGGAATTACAGAGAATGACAACACAGCACTTCATCTGATTGAGAGATAGTAGGAACTGCCGATGCTGGAGAATCTGAGATAACAAGGTGTAGAGCTGGATAAACACAGCAGGCCAAGCAGCATCAGAGGAGCAGGAAGGCTGACGTTTCGGGCCTAGATCCTTCTTAGAAATGGGGGAGGGGAAGGGGATTCTGAAATAAATAGGGAGAGAGGGGGTGGCGGATAGAAGATGGATAGAGGAGAAGATAGGTGGAGAGGAGACAGACAGGTCAAGAAGGCAGGGTTGGAGCCAGTAAAGATAAGTGTAGGTGGGGAGTTAGGGAGGGGATAGGTCGGTCCAGGGAGGACGAACAGGTCAAGGGGGCGGGGTGAGGTTAGTAGGTAGGAGATGGCGGTGGGGCATGAGGTGGGAGGAGTGGATAGGTGGGAGGACAGGTTAGGGAGGAGGGTACGAGCTGGGCTGGTTTTGGGATGCGGTTGGGGGAGGGGAGATTTTGAAGCTTGTGAAGTCCACATTGATACCATTGGGCTGCAGGGTTCCCAAGCGAAATATGAGATGCTGTTCCTGCAACCTTCGGGTGGCCTCGTTGTGGCACTGCAGGAGGTCCGGGATGGACATGTCGTCTGAGGAGTGGGAGGGGGAGTTGAAATGGTTCGCGACTGGGAGGTGCAGTTGTTTGTTGCGAACTGAACGTAGGTGTTCCACAAAGCGGTCCCCAAACCTCTGCTTGGCTTCCCCGATGTAGAGGAGGCCACATTGGGAACAGCGGATACAGTATACCACATTAGCAGATGTGCAAGTGAGCATCTGTTTGATGTGGAAGGTCTTCTTGGGGCCTGGGATGGGGGTGAGGGGTAGGTGTAGGGGCAGGTGTAGCACTTCCTGCGGTTGCAGGGAAAAGTGCCGGGTGTGGTGGGGCTGGTGGAGAGTATGGAGCGGACAAGGGAGTCGTGGAGAGAGTGGTCCCTCCAGAAAGCAGATAAGGGTGGGGAGGAAAAAATGTCTTTGGTAGTGGGGTCAGATTGCAGATGGCGGAAGTGTTGGAGGATGATGCGTTGGATCCGGAGGTTGGTGGGGTGGTACGTGAGGACGAGAGGTATTCTGTTTTGTTTGTTATTGCGGAGAGAGGGTGTGGGGGATGAGTTGCGGGAAATGCAAGAGACACGGTCGAGGGCGTTTTGGACCACTGTGGAGGGGAAGTTTCAGTCCTTGAAAAACGAGGACATCTGGGATGTCCGGGAGGTGGAATATCTCATCTGAGGAGCAGATGCGGCGGAGGTGAAGGAATTGGGAAGGTGGGTGGGAGGAGGTGTATTCTAGGTAACTGTGGGAGTCGGTAGGCTTGAAATGGATATTGGTTTCCAGGTGGTTTCCAGAGATGGAAACAGAGAGGTCCAGGAAGGAGAGAAAGGTATCGGAGATGGTCCAGGTGAACTTAAGGTTGGGGTGGAAGGTGTTAGTGAAGTGGATGAACTGTTTGAGCGCCTCGTGGGAGCACGAGGCGGCGCCGATACGGTCATCGATGTAACGGAGGAAGAGGTGGGGGATAGGGCCAGTGTAGCTTCGGAAGAGGGATTGTTCCACGTATCCTACAAAGAGGCGGGCATAGCTTTGGCCCAGGCGGGTACCCATGGCCACCCCCTTTGTCTGTAGGAAGTGGGAGGAATTGAAGGAGAAGTTGTTAAGGGTGAGGACGAGTTCAGCTAAGCGGATGAGGGTGTCAGTGGAGGGGGATTGGTTGGGCCTGCGGGACAGGAAGAAGCAGAGGGCCTTTAGGCCATCTGCATGGGGAATGCAAGTGTATAGGGACTGGAATTCCATGGTAAAGATGAGGTGCTGGGGACCAGGGAATCAGAAGTTTTGGAGGAGGTGGAGGGCGTGGGTGGTGTCATGGACATAGGTGGGGAGTTCCTCGAAAAAGGGGGAGAAAATGGAGTCAAGATAAGTAGAGATGGGGCAGGAGCAGGCAGAGACAATGGTCGACCGGGGCAGTCAGGTTTGTGGATTTTGGGAAGGAGATAGAAATGGGTGGTGCGGGGCTGGGGAACGATGAGGTTGGAGGCTATGGGTGGGAGGTCACCTGAAGTGGTGAGGTTGTGGATGGTTTGAGACTAGCCTCATCTCGCCCCCTTGACCTGTCCATCCTCCCTGGACCGACCTATCCCCTCCCTAACCCCCCACCTACACTCACCTTTACTGGCTCCAACTCCGCCCCCTTGACCTATCTGTCTCCTCTCCACCTATCTTCTCCTTTATCTATCTTCTATCCCCCTCCCCCTCTCTCCCTATTTATTTCAGAATCCCATTCCCCTTCCCCATTTCTGAAGAAGGGTCTAGACCCGAAACGTCAGCTTTCCTGCTCCTCTGATGCTGCTTGGCCTGCTGTGTTCATCCAGCTCTACACCTTGTTACTTCATCTGGTTGAATCAGTTCATGTTGGCATTTAACCATTGACAAGCTAAATTCTAATTCACTGACTACTCCTTTCGTATATCTCTTCAGCTACTTTTCTTTCATGTGCATATGCAATTATCCTGAAAGCTGAAAATTCTGCCTTAATTATAACCCCTTAAGTGAATTCCGCTGCCTCACTGTATAAAGAAGCCTCTCCTACTTTCTGTTAGGCATGTCTTACATTTAAACTGTATCTACAGCCACTCATTCAGAAACTCTGGATTACTGGATAAGTTTGTTTCAACCATCTTGGAAAATTCTTGGAAAATACCTGCTGGCTGCTTCATGCCCAATGCCAAGCATCTCCTTCCTTACTTAATTTTTCTTCTAATTTTCCAAGAATTTTCCAAGCTGGCTGAATTATTCTGTGTCAGCTGGACAGTATGGAAAGGATAAAAAGACTGTCCAACTCAAACAGCTTGACGATGTTAACTTGGGGTATTTTTTTAATATTGTAATATTCTGCCACTTAAAATCATTTGTATTTTCACTAAGCATTTTACCATGGCTTGTTTTAAAGCATGACACAATTTTTATTAGACTTTCACTCATTGAATCTTATATATGACTCCTGCTTTTTAGACCTTGATCACCAAGGTTTAGAATCATGGATTGAATAAAAAGTCTGGCATGATTTGTTCTCAATACAAAAGGTAATCCTGCAGCTAGGTTTCTGTCTGAAAAGCACCAACTGTAGAGACAACACTTCCCCCACTGAGAAAGAAAGAATACCATAAAACACAGCTACACCAACCTCTCTGTCATTCTCTGAGCACTGGATGTTCAACAGCAAGCTGCAAGTCAGATTGCCGATGGTGGCTGGAGAAGCAAGAATGTGAGATTGTCAATAGAAATATATGGACAGTACATATAGTACGTCTATATAATAACATATACAGTACGTATGTGCATATGTGCTGTGAATGTGGAGTATAATTATATATATTCTTTCACAATTGAGAACAGGGGCTGCTGGTGACTGAGTCTGTTCATTTACATTTTAGATTGGATTCTGTTGGACTTGTTAAAGTTCCTGTATTCTGTCCACAGCTGGGATTCTGTCCCTGCCTGTTTGCTGGCTCCAGGTTGATAGGAAATGTAAATGAACAAGTTATTCCAGATTCTAACTCTAACAAATAACACAGGTCTTTACAAAGGATTACCAATGGGAGTTGGATAGTGCAGGGGCAGGTCCTGGGGTGCAGTACTGGAGAGGTTAGAGTCAGCTAGGTCCTATTCGTTCCATTTATCTATTCTTCATGGAAGATAGACTACTTGAGACTGTGATACTGGACAGACCATCTTATCGCCAATTTGCACTGGCTAAAAGGAGGCTTAGTAGACTCCTAATATCTAATATTCTAGCTGATTTTGCCTGTATACACTGAGGTGTGAAACAAGTCTTATATTTTACCCTTCTGTTGCACATTGGCTCCACAGAATTTCATCTCAGCTTTAGAATTCAACCTAATTCGAATTATACATGGACTTATTTTTCAGGGTCTTGCTCTGTGTGAGTATATTGAAGAACAGAGGATAATCTTTAATGGCATGAAGGTGATCGAACTGGGTGCAGGAACTGGAATATTAGGAATCTTAGCAGTTCTGCTAGGTAAGTTGTAAAGTTCACAGGGGACTAAAAGCCACAAGAAGCAAAACTTTGCAAATGTAAATGAAAGATAGGCGATGATGAGCATGACGAACAATGTGTATTTGTATCTTCTCCTGGTTAAAAAGTACACTTAAGCTTTGTGAGTCACTTGATCAGTATGTTTTTGTTCTGTTCAAGTTCTTACAGTTTACATTAGTTCGCTGCATTGTATCCTTAATATTATATCTCATTTGTCACACAGTTACTTTAAGGAAAGGCTAGGGGTAGGACTGAATGCTTTCAATGCAAGATATTTACTTCTCCACTTAGTCTGTAGTTTTTGTTTGACTGGTCTAGAGAAACATCCTGCATGCATTCCATGAATTCATTCTTCACAATAATTCTGTAAGTTTTGTTTGCCCAGTCCATATGAAAAGAGATTACTTGCTACATGTGCCTTTATCCCCTGACTGAATTATTCTCTGTTTCAACTACATTTAGGGGCTTACAAGAAATTTCCACCGATGTTTTTCATCCTTATTGTTTCTTAGCTCCACTCAAATTGATTGTACTTCTTGATTTTCGAAGACAAGACCATTCCTCATGACTATTTGTATCTTTCTTTCAAGGTTTACCCTTCCTCTTTTCAACTGACCAATCTCTTACACAGAAACTAGGAGAAGGGATTGGACAGTAACACCTGCAACTTATGGATGAATTAAAAACAAACTTCTTGGATGATATGAAAACTAATAAATAAGCACAATTACAGATTGAATCTTAACCTGAGGCTTGCTTCCACATTAAATTTTTGTTCTGGAAGCATGCCTTCCCAGTCAGTGTTCCTATAGGCAAGTCTTTATTCAGTGGATATTCTGCCAATGCATTCCCCTTCAATACATCTGGCTTACAGCCAGCACTGGGACCACTACCTGCCTCTAACAAGATGCATAGGTTAGTAGCCAGATATATAGGTTTGGAACTAAATGCAAGAGGCTCAATAAATTTTATTGTAAAGTTCATGGGTCAGTATATACGTGAAATGGTATTTGCCTAAACATTCAAAATGTCTTTAAGAAGATTATTTTTCTCTCCTTTCTGTAACCATGATTCAGCATCTGATTACTGTGCGGATCAAATTCTGAACTGAGATATATAATTATTTTTCAGGAGGAAATGTGACAATTACAGACCAACCAAATGTTTTAAAGCAAATTGAACGTAACGTTATTGCCAGCATCTCACCATCTTGTAGAGATCGGGTCAATATCCGTGCCCTATCCTGGGGTCATGATCACACTCAGTTTCCACGTGACTATGACTTCATTCTTGGTGGAGAAATTGTCTATTTTTCAAAGACCTATCCCTTACTAATAAAGACTCTACAACATCTCAGTAGTGAAAGAACTATCATTTATCTTTCTTCGAAAATGTGGCAGGACTTTCAGATCAACAAATTCTATGAAGACATTCTACCTGAGCATTTTAATTGCGAACTGGTTTACAGAAATGAAGAAGATGACATCAACGTGTATAAAGTGACCAAAAAAAGTCCAAGCTCTGGGGATTAGCTGTTAACACAGAGAGGCAAATGGATGTATTATGTAACTCGGCTCTCTGTATCCTTGATGATATTTTTCAATCATTATCTATCTAAATGTCAGTTTGAAGAAATACTGTTCTGATCATTTATGCCATTGTTTTCCTTGTTTGCATTTTGGATGATTTTCCAGCCCTCCTCAGATTCTCTACCTCACCCAAGGCCCTTTCTCATGTGTGAAATTAGGCTATGAGAATGAGTGGGAATTAACCAAATTCGGTACTATGTCAGCATTATCAGACATCACAAGATACAAATGGCATTGGGAATATTTGCTGATTTTTATTTTTCTGCCAGGAGTACTGATCCTTTCCTGTTGCTCTGGTAGAAATCAGCAAACTAATTGCTGACTTTCAAATTGGAGGTTGTTGACTTGTATGCATCAGTCATTGCCTGACAAAGCGGTGTAGTAATTAATAAAGTTGAGGGGGTGGCACAGTGGCTCAGTTGATAGCACTGCTGCCTCACAACACCAGGAACCCAGGTTCAAATCCAGCCTCGGGTGACTGTCTGTGTGGATTTTGCACATTCTCCCCGTGTCTGCATGGGTTTCTTCCGGGTGCTCTGGCTTCCTCCCACAGTCCAAAGTTGTGCAGGTTAAGTGGATCAGCCATGCTAAATTGTCCATAGTGTCTAGGGTGGGAAATCCAGGGACAGGGATAGGGTAGGGTGTGGGTTGGGGTGGAATGCTCTTTGGGTGGTCAGTGTGGCCTCCTTCCACACCATAGGGCTTCTATGAATTGAAAATAGAATGAAGCAGTCAACAAATTCTCATCTCCATATCATATAAGAAAAGAGTCAGATGAAGATTTATAAGAGGTTATCTCAGATGATCCCAATAACAAGTTTATTAAAAGGTTAGAAAGAGAAACTGAACAGTCTGGTGTTCTTTTCTCCTGAAAAGTGATGATTGAGGAGCAAACACGAGCACACGACAGATGACAAGAAGAGGCAACTTGGCCCATCAAGCCTCTTTCCCCATTCAATAAGACCATGGCTGATCTGATTTTAGCCTCAACTCTACATTCCTCCACATTCCTCGTAATCTTTCATCCCCTTGGTAGTCAAAAATTTATCTAGCTCTAGTTTAAACATACTTAATATTCTGCATTGACTGCATAGAGACATAGAATTGTAGAGATCTACATCACAGAGAAAAATCTTTCAGCCTATCAAATTTGCTCTGGTTCAAAGCAGCCATTTAACTATTCTGAGTTAACAAGGTGTAGAGCTGGATGAACACAGCAGGCCA